AGTGTGTTATTGCAAATTTATAGATGAAAAATTAGTATTTGAAAAACACTCAAATCCAAATGGAGCCATAATTTTCCTATTAAGTCCAAACTTCAAGGAAAAAGTGAAAATGTATTAAAATAAATGATGAGCACGGGATATGCATATAACAATTAAAACTGATTCCACAGTTAAATTTTATATTTACAAATTTCTAAATACCCCACATGCGATTTTCTATAAGTATACAGATCTAGATTGAGTATAAGGTATTAAGAGTTAAACTCACAGGGAAGAATGGACAACAACTGACACTACTAAATATTCTCTATTATTTAGACTATCAACAAATTGAAGGAAATAAAATTACACTAAAATGTGCTAGAATAGCGAACAAAATCTTCTTAGATCATGGTATTCTTAATTACTCATGCAAGTGCAATTTTTGGATCACTAAAATCACAAGGCGTACCTCTACTTTCGTGAGTGTATTCCCTAGGTTTAACACTTTTTAAACTAGTGTTAAATCCCAATTTTCATTTTTAACTTAACACCTTAAGATTATCACGATTAATGGGCAGTTAATCATGATTAAAGGAGCAAAAGTGCTAAATAACTTGCTCAAAATAATAGCATCAAATAGCCAAGAAATCAACACAATACAACTATAGAAATTTCAACTAAAACCCAAGGCATAAACTTTAGAAACACATAATAAACATAAAATTCAAACTTGTATATTAACTAAATTTAGAATCAATTAGAAAGATAAAGAGTCGGAAAGGTAGAGTAACCCTTGTCACATGAGTTCTCTCCTTGCCTTCTTCATCCTCCAACTTTATCTTCATCTAGCTAACACAAAGAAAGGATAAACTAGCTAAAACTAACTATCATACACTACCTAAACTAAAGAGTTAAGAAACTACATTTTTGTGGTATTCCTTGCCCATCTCCAAAACTCTTTTAAAATGGAAGACACAAGCGCCTGTTTATAGAGAAATCTTTCCTCTTAGTGTCTTCCTTCTAGTGTGAACATTGGATTCAAATGTCAACAATTTTGGCTCGAAGCTAAAACTCATTATTATGGAAGAAATAAAGTCAATATTTGTTGCTAGAATCTTCATTTTACAGCTGCAAATCTTCTACAAATTATCCCTCAAAAGTTGTGAAAGAATGGAGGTGAAAGCAGGTTACGTAAGTGGAAGCCGTCATTGTTGACTAGAATCCCTTGGCAATCCCTCCAAAATCTGGCCGGATTCCTTGGAGGATTTCTCCCTTGTTTTGTTCACATTTTGATTCTTCAATTTAACTTCCTGCCACAAATCTCTCCAAACAATTCCTCCAAAATTGGCAGGATTGTTCGGAGGGATTTGAGTCGACTTTTGCTTTCAACAAGTTTCTTCATTTTCTTCTTTTAGTGACTAGAAATACTTTTGAAACTCATTATCCTTGTGAATTTTAGGACTTCAACCATCATAATGTAAGCTTATTTCTTGTCCAAAATAAGCCCATTTCCAACTCCTACAAAAAAAAATAAAATAAAAAAATATGCAAGTATAAGGGACAAATTCTCAATTAAGCATTAGATTGCACTTAGAACCAATTCTAGCAAAAATTGATCATTTTCTTCCTATAATATCGCAAAAGTGACTAAAAGTAATATAAAATGTCATCCAAATACATTACAAAATAGTCACTTATCAATAAAAATAAAAACATTAAATGTGAAATATAATGAAGGCCAAAAATAAAAAATAGTAGATATGTGCAAAAAAAAGTTACAATAAAAGATTGCAGAATTACAATATGTAGTGCTAGAAAATAAAAGAGAAAACAAGATAAGTGATACAAAAAAGGGGCTAATATCTAAATCGCCACTAAACTATTAATACTGTATAGTATATTCTTTTCACTAAAAGAAAATTTCAAAAACCTCTGGTTTGTAACAATTTTACTAGCTTTCTCTGAAGTTTATAAAATTACACAAACCTCGTCTGAAGTTAAGGTTTTGGTATCAAAATTAGTCCAAGTCAGAAAAAGTAACATCAAAAGGGTACTTTAAGAAGAGAGATAAAATTTTATTCTATAAATACCCCTTATACATGTATATATGTTGTGTTAGTAAAAGAATAAAAATAATTAAAAGTTAAAAACAATTAATACGCACATATCTTTACATTAAAAGTTCACATAAATTAGACAATACAAATAAGTAACAAAACTACACTATGATCACAAGATTCAACAAAACAGACCAGTCATCTCTTTTAACATGAGATTTACTATGATTCTTTTGATTTTGAACAAATTTTTTTTTGAAATTTTGCCTTTTTTCCCCCTCCATTCTCCTTTACTTCCATAAAATCACTTTACAACTATAACAACATTAGGAGTTTCAAAGAAAATTTCCTCATGAGTAACCTTCTTTTGCCTAGTGTTTTTCTCCTTCTACCAAAACCCTTTTTTTCACATTTTGTACAACTGATTTTTGGTTATTGTCAAGTTCTATCAATCACAAAACAGCGCCATTTGGTGTATCAATTGGAATTATTTTCTAATTCCAAGTCATCATTCATCATCAAAGAAATTTTCAACAATTATTTCCATTAATTAGTTACTAATAGTTAATTAGTACTCTAATTACTCAATCATTAAATATTAGTTTGTAATAAGACATAATGTCTTAGGGTATATGAGTAAGTTCTCCCATGTGATGTAAGTTAACTAGGCTCACAATTTTGCCAAGGCAGGTAAGTGTGATTTTACAAACCTCAGGAGAGGCCGGTGAAATTGTTAGAGATCTCGAGGAAGGTTTATGAAATTATCGCTTTCACTACACTACGTTCATTTTATAATTGTTTGGTAAATATTTCAATTATGAAGTCAATTTTAATAGCTTATATTACAGCTTTTGCCTAAGATTAGGTCATCATTTTTTTTTACTTAACCCTAAAATTAAATGGTTACCAAGAGCCTTTCTTCTTGTGGTGCGAGAAATGCTAAAGTTTTCCTCTTGTCCTAGATAAATTCTTGTAGTCACGACATGGCAATATTATGCTGTAAATCTTCCTTACTATTTGTGTATTTTTCCTGACTATTGTATGGATAGAAACTAATTTTTAAAAAGATTTTCTCAAGGTTTTCTAAACCCGTTTCTACGAATTTTTTTATATTTTCAAATGTATTTTTATCTCACAAATACCATATCATAATAAGTTTTACTATAATTAAAACTAATTTTTTCCAAGTAAACTTCAATTGTCAAGGACTCAGGTTACTAGACATGAAAAGAAAAACTAATTTTCCCAAATAAGTTTCAAATTGTCAAACACTCGCTCCAAATTTTTTTGCCACGGAGGCAAGTGAAGATTAAGAGAAAAACAATTTTCTTATTTAGTCTGATTTTTGGTATGGTGAAAGACGGAAGTTTAAAAAAATAACAAACAAAAATATATTGGATGTTTGCTATAATAATTTGCAACTGATGCAGAATATTAGAAATTTCAAATGTTGATCGTTCATTGTACTGATGTTTATAACTCTCTATATAGTATTCTTTGTCTATATCATTTCTGGATTTACTTTGTCATAGGTAACAGAATCTAATGATAAAAGAAAAAATCATGTAAGACTAATAAGACTACCATTATTGTATAATAAGTTGTAACGTTGTACGAAAATTTACTAAAGCAGTATGCTACAATTTGTTTCAGATGTAATAAATTCAATTCTGAAAAATAATAACAACTTTAACTTTAAGAATATCCATAGATTTGATTACTTCTTTAACTCATTTCAAAATGTAACAAATATCACCTAGGAAATAGCAGGTTGGACTTCCAGCTTTGTGTTTACTGCCCTCTATTAATTATTTAGAGGCCATTGAGCTCCTCCTTGCTGTTAATATTTATGGTCAAATTCAATGGCCTCAAGCTCGAGCCCCTAAGAATCACTAACTACTTTCTTGCTCTTGATCAAAGCTCCTGAATTATCTCCTTAACTGAATTTTAAAGAACTTTAGGGATGCTAATTATCATCAGGACTGCATGCAAATCAACATCTGTAGTTTATTATAATCCCTTATTCAATTCTGGAGTTAACAAATTTTTTTCCCTAAAAAGTTGCTTCAACACCTTAGTAGTCGCATGTACTCCAGGGGTCAATCTACTTTCCTGGAAAGTGGTTGAGGAAAATTGAACAGATCATTCTACACAAATGTTTCCGCTTCAGTATTCTGTTGTTCTTCTGTTATCACCCTGGCGTGCTACTAAGGTTGCATATTACTAGCAGAAGTTCGGAGTTTTTGCAAGTGGTAGAACACAAAGCTGGTTATGAGCTTCGGTGCTTGTATCCATGCCTGTTTTACAATAAATTGTTCATAAAAACCGACAGGAAACTGGTCATGAGTTCTAAAAGTTTTGCTGATTATAATTTGTTGAGATTCTTAATGTCTCAAGGGATAAAGCGGTAGTCATGCTTCGCTGCTTCATTAGCTACAAAAATATCGTTCTTTCAACTAAAAATGATGATGCTTCGGTGCTTGCTGTGAGGTTTCTCTGGTAATTCAAATGGTTCATGACTTTTAGACCATGGAAGTGGCCTAAAAGGAGACAGAGGACAAGAGCATACATAACATCAAGAAATTCTTGAGCCATCTCAAAGCATAAACAGTTCTGGCGTCACCATATGCTCGATGTATAAGCAATTAAACACGACAAATAAAAAGCAACCTCAACATAACAAAATCACAAACAAAATCTAGTCATTAACAAGCTCCCGTTTTCCATGTCCCATCCAAAAGCAAGATATGAAAATTGCACATTGCCATAGTTACGTAATTTCCCTAGCTATTACTAGTATCCAGAACTACTTTCAACCTGCGTTTTGTCACTATTACTAGCAACTATTCTGGAGTTGGATTATGTTATTTCCTTGGAACGGCATCAACTACTCCCCATTGGCCGATCACAATTTATTCAAACATTTTCCTGAAGCTTCACCAGCAGACCTCCAAACATTTTTTATGTGAACACAATCTGGCAGTCGTTATTGCATCTCTTCAATGACAATATTTTGCTGCGAGCTCCAAAGTGTCCAAGCACACCAACGGTCATCTTTTTTAAAGCTTTCACATTCTGCAAAATATAGTCAATGAGCTTGAATTCATATTCCTTTCCATTGAATTTTCTGATTTTTACTTCCCTAAGATGTTTCGGCAAGCATAATGGAACAGGCTCTGCAGAAAGAAACTCAAATTTCTTGTCTTCAGCAGAGGATTCAATCCTGTCATCCCAAAACACCTGCCATTTGGAGAATAATTACGGACTGGAATATCTAATCGAATACATTGCTGTGAGAAAAAAGGATCATTGGGACTCACTTCATCAAAGACCAGCACTTGAAGATTAGGTGCACTCTCAAGTAACCAAGATAACATCTTCCAGCTACGAGTATGCTTATCATAATATTTGCGGACTTCAAGCTCAAGATAAGTTAGCTTTTCAAAAGTTGGCAGCAACTTTTGAAAATAAAAGAGTAACTTCAGGAAGAAATGAGAAAATTGATTAGACAAATAAACACTTGGAAATTTGAAGTTCCAGTCATTCTCCAAATCATAACAAAAATAATTTGAGTTATGCAATAACCAAAGAAAAGAAAAGAAACTACCTCCACCGTGGCATCTAGCAAATAAAGTGATACCACACTTTGTGACCAATTCATAAGCTCAAAGGCAACCTCACAGCGTAATAATTGTTCTTGTTCTGATGTTTTCACAATATAAGGGCAAGAAACTGATATTCTGGCTTCAACACAAGAGACTTGTGGTTTGGGAGAATGTTTACTTCAACTGCATCGCCATCAAAGTGCAAATGTTGAAGCTTTGGGGCATTTATACTTGTTTTACTCGCTCCCTCAACCTCGCATTCCAAATTTACAGCACTGGGGATGTCCAGAACAATGTCCCATTCATCAGTCACACAATGGAGGTAGATTTTTTCCAGGGAAGGGCTTTTTATCAAAAGGGTCAGAACTTCACCCTCTGAATATGTTAAACAGTCAAAATACAGTTCTATGAGCACAGGACAACCCTGAATGAGCCTGGGAGTAGACAGCTCATCTGTCAATATAAATTGTGCCAAATGCAGAATCTTAAGATTCGGCAAAGAAACTGTCTCCGGGACGTAGAAATCAGTAAAGCGACTTTCCAGCTTCATTTCTACAAGTGTTTTGCAACTGAAAATTGCAGGACAGGACAAAATTCCCCGGAGGACAATGCATTGGAACGATCAAGTCCCACAAAAACCTCAAGTTGTTGGACTCCGCAAGAAATTGCGGCGGCATATCAGAGAGTCTATTGCCACCCGAAAATCTCAAGAAACTCTTTCAGGGAAAGATGAATTTTCTTAAACAATACGGTTTTCGCTGAAGAATCAATTGATGACAACAATCTACCAATCGAGCAAATCGTTGATAATTGGACCCATAATGTCTACATATTTTTTACCACTATTCGGATCGAATCGTCGTAAAGAGTGATCAAATTCCAGATGAATATTGCGAAGTGAAGTGAAAAGTAACGCCATCGAGGATAGGATGGAGGTGGCTGCAGCTTTCTTTGTTGGAAGAAAGGAAAGGATATGGCAGAGAAGGTCATTGGAAGAGCGCTTATCCGATCAACATGATCAACTTTAACATGATTTTGGGACTGGACTTTGACGGTTTTTTTCCTTCGATTGCTCCGAATTTTTTAAGCCAAAAAGATCTCCGGATACGGACATTTTTGCTACATATAATTTGAGCAAAAAAAAAGTGCGAAAGATATGTGAAAGCTAGCTCGAAGAGAGAAAACTCAAAAGAATTCAGGGTTGCATTCTTTTTGTTTTGTACAATCCAAAAATTAGCTTCAAATGCTAACCAGAAGTCTCACTCGTATTAATGTTTCTAATCCCGCTTTGTCTTCCTTGTTACGGGGAACTAATCATCAAAAGCCAACCATTGAACTTGAACTACTCCATAAAACACCTTTCATTAGTGTTAGTAAGTTGATTGGTGAGTGATTTGGAAAGCTAGGAGGACCTATAGCTCTCTCTCTCTTGTTTTTAAGGTAAGTTGAAAAGAACCACCCTCCTCCTTAAATTGATGCTTAAATCATGCTTAGTGGGAGTATAAGAGCAAGTTTATGGATTATTTCTTGATTTGTGGTTGAAATGATGAAGTTTTATTATTTTTGGGGATTTTTCTGTTTTAATATAAGCATGATTGTGTGGCTATGTATGATGATTGGAAATGATGTTAAGGCATCTAGAAGGTGGAAAAAGTGATTAATTGTAACCAATTTCTGTTTTGGAAGAAAATTGAAAAACCTAGGGTTCATTGAAGGAACATTCTGTCCGAATTTATAGCTCCTATAGAGGCCGAATTGGCCTTAGCTTAAAACATGAAAGTTGTAGATAATGACATTTTAGAGGGCTTACAAAATATCAAGGTTAATCAGAGTAGCTTAGAGTGAGAAAAGTCGAAATTACTATTGCTATTTCTGGGTTTTTCCGAATGCAAGAATTGCGCCTGTAATTGGTTGTTTTGCTGGAATTGCTTCCGGAATTGGTTGTTGAGGTCTTCTGATGAAATGTAGCCCTGTTCTTTCCAGCTGATTTTTGGAATTTCTGGATTTGGACTTGGAGAGTCTGAGTTATGATGTTTCCGCTAGAATGCGTTTTTGGTGAATCTGTTTTACGTTTTTGATGTAGTATCTTGCATTTTTGACATATTTGCACTCAAAACTGGGTTGAGTGACCTTCTGCGATGTTGTAGCCCTATCTTTTAGCTTCGAGATGGTGGGTCTTGCACCCTCATCCGATAATCGTAGTGAAATTGGTTCCATTACCGAAAACAAGGACAAAAACTGTTTTTTTTCAAGGCCAAAGCTAATTGCATTTCCGAATTTTCTGGTTTCCTTTAATGTTTGTGTATGCTTAGGGAACCCTGTTTTGGTAGTATATAGAATTGGTTTATGACTTGTAATTGAGTCTTATTGTGTTCATTTGAATAGTTAGGGCTTGACTTTCATATTCGGTTATTTCCTAGCTAAATTTTGTACTTGAATACCATTAAGTCTAGTGAACGGCTTTTGGGAATGAGATTATTTTTGTACAAGATGTTGGGACTGATTTGAGGAAATAATGAAGCCATGATGGCTGGAAAATAGGTAAAGACAAGGGATATGCTGCCGAAATTTTACTTGAAGGCTAGTTGGATTTACTTGTGTTTTGAATGAAGGGCTTTTGGGTTGTTTGAGCCTAGGTCTTCATGTTACCTTTTCATTACCAAAAATCATGTTTTGCACCCTTGCTTTAGTAAATTTGGCGAGGCATACGACTGGTAGTCGAGCCTCACATGTGCATTCTGTATACTCAATTTTGAAAGTGGAACCTTCAATTGTTTTCCTTGGATTATTTTAGGGTTTATTGGTGATTAAAGCTCTCTTTTGGGAGGTATCTGCACTGACCCTGGTGAGTGTACTACTAACTTCTGTGTTACTATATGGCTTTGAATGTAAATTGCTTGAAGTGAATTGAATGTGACTTGATTGCAGTGAAAGTGTACTTTATCACTCTCACTTATATGCCTTATATCATTGTTGTCATGTTATTGGAATGTTACATGAAATGAAAGTACTCGACTTGGTGTCGATTGGACGAGTATCCAACGACTACAAATGTTATCAATGAGCTCAACTGTAACAGCCCCATTTTCCCCTAAGGCGAACCAGAGGGGTCGACGGGCCGCCTGCCCAGCTCTCGCCAGGACTCAGTCATTCACTACAGTCCTCGATTAAATTACAAGATAAAACTCAACTTTTGCATCACATTCTCCAAAATTTACATATCACAAACGCAGTGGAATGTACACGTACATCCATTCAAGTCCAATCATCCATTACAAACCCTACTACTCAGCTATTACATAAGAGGCAATCCAAATTCAAACCGTACAAGGTATAGTCCATCCATTCCAATTCCAAGCAGTCACCCTAGCCCAACAATTACACAAACGAATCCAAATCTAAACTATACAAGTTACAAGCCATCCGGTTATACACATAACGTAATACAAGCGCTTCCTTTGCCTCGATCCCTGTGGGGAGAAGAAAACATTTGGGGGTGAGCTAAAAGCTCAGCGAGTGAACAGTAAAATCAATAATCAAATAAACTTTACAGTAGTGCATATAAATGATGTCATGAATCAGTGATCAAAGATGCGTATATTGCTCTTTGGAGCCAGTGAAATCCTTGTACTTAAATATCCAACGCTCCCTTAGATCAAGTAATCAGATAAACAGAAACAAGGAGCCATCGTGCTCCAAGAATGCATAAACAGTAGTGGAAACGTTGGTTCTAAGCACAAGATTTTCCCAAGATCTCATTGGAGCCAAAATGTTATGGCACACACACATACACAATGAGATGCAGTCGTGTAATCAATGCAAGAATTATTTCGAAAGTAACTTTCGGAGTAATAGTTAAGGTTCACTCACCCAAACACAGCTCAGGAACCATCCATCGTACCTCATTGGCTTGTTCAAATCGGAGTCCTAAATTACAAATAGCAGGTCAAATAAAAGGAATTCTAACTTAACAAGTTCCTGCCACCTTTTGGCATTTTCATCACATTTGAAACTACGCTTATCCGATTGAAACGATTCTTATGGCGTTACGAAACTAAGACATATGCCAACATTTCTTATGAAGACTTCCAAAGTCAAAACGTATAATTCCAGGGTCAAATATCGAAATCTAGGAGAGGACAGAAAACTGTCCGCAAAACAGGATTGATAGGCAGTCAGGGGAAATTCAGTCATTTCTCAAGCTACAGAGGTCCAATCAATCTGAAATTTTGCAGGCAAGTAGCTAACTCATATATCTACAAGTTCCATGTTTTGAGCAAAAGCTGGTTCGGTCTACAGTACAGAGAAAATGACAGTCCAAGTTCAGTCCAGAAACAGGGGAAAACTAAATTTACTCTTCTTGAACCAACCTTTTTATACAACCATTACTAATCACAATTAAGGCTAGAAATCCGACTAGCCTATACCAATCATGCACAGGCCAAAACAAGGATGAATGAACTTAAACCAAGTTTAGAAATGTCACTAACATGGAACCTTATTATCCCAATTTCCAAATCATAAGAATTCCATAAAACTAGTCAAGATCACTCACATTCAAATTAATCAAATATTCTCCAACAAATGGGACGGCATTTCCCCTTAATTAACACATATCCAACTTACCATTCAATACCAAATATATCTCAATTCAACTCCATTTTTACATACAAACAATAAGCTAGTAAATATACTCAATTAGGGCCACAATGCCCCTCAATCAAGCCAATTAAAAGCTTATAAACCAACTATTAGGAAATTCCCCAAATTGAAACCCTAACAACCGGAAATCACACTACAAGCATAATTTTCCGCAAATGATCACAATTAACGCATAAAAGCTTCAATTAACACCATTTCAATTCATCAATCCAACACTAATCATAACTTTCATATAAAATCAGAAAAATACCCAATAAATCAACCATTCACCATCAATTCCTTCAACCCATGAAATACTCCACAATATAACATATTTAAACATCACAAACCCTAAATTAATTAATATTAGAACCAAAAGGTACTTGTTTATTCAACTTACCTCAAATGCAAGAGAGCTACCAACTTAGAGCTTCCCTTCAAAACCCAATCCATCAAAAGCTTTACACCACCATAGTGCACCCTTGTGTGAAATAGTTTGCAAAATCATTGGTTAAAACTCAAGATATTTGCCAAAAATTGAACTAGGAAAATTGAGAGTATTTCTCTCTATGAAGCTCGGATGAACCAGGGAAGAAAAAATGAGATATTTTGGCCAAAACAATGAGATAAGAAGGAAGAAAAGGCAGCCGGTCAAAGCTGACCGGCTGTGACACGTCACAATCCGGCCAGAATCTGGCCGGATTTCCGGCCGGATTCCTGGCCGGATACAAGGCCGAGGCTGATCAAAATTTTTTCAAAACTGCAGGGCAATCCGGCCAGCTATCCGGCCAGAAACTGGCCCGATTTCCGGCCGGATTTGGCCACTGCCATTTTTCGAAACTTTTCTTTTCTTTTCCGAGTTGAAAAGCTGTGTTTCTCCGCTCATCCAACAAAATATACATAAAATGA